CAAATCATTTATAACACATGAAGTTACTATTATGGATTCTCTCGTAAAATAGTTCTTGGATGCTTTATGGAAAATTGACACAGTCGGAAAACATGTTAAAATCTCCACTTAGATCATAGTATTAATCGACCAAAATTTGAATATGAGAGTAATTCATCCATATTTCTTATTCGACCCCGTGATGACTTGTCGATACTTCGTCGTCATATTAATAGTTTTCTCCATGATAGTTTACACATAATAGTTCATCGTAAATCATTCATATATATGTGGTTTGTCATAGTATCAACATCGCGACAACATTTTGTTGTTGCACTTCTTACACAAACATAATGAATTCAACGCTCGAGTACGTAGCTTGATTACGAGCGAAACAAAGAAAATTCTTTATTCCCTAACAAATTTATCTAAAACGTATTTTTGGTACATTCGACGAATGTATTCCCTAATGAATTCAACGTTCAAATACATTCGACGAATATATTATCTCTAAAGCGATATTTTTCAAAGTTAGATACAACGAGATATTTTGCAGGCGAAAAAAGATTTCAATAATTTTTGTTAAATTTTATCTACCCATGAATTGTATGTTGGTGAAGGTCATTAGTAACAGATAGCTACAAACAATTGCGTGGGCGATACAACTAGTTATCAATGTATATTTTGTTTTTAGTTGCATATAATATGGTGGCTATTACGTGACTTCGCCAATTACATAAAATATTCATATCTAACTTTGGTAAATAAGTTACAAATAGTCACAAAATGGGCTCATATATACAACCACAAAATCGTTATGTTTTTGCTATATATTTTATAATTTTAGATATATATGATTTGTAACTATTTACCTATAGCCACATATATGTCGTAGTTATTTTGTGGCTATGAGTAGTTTTTCTTGTAGTGTATATATATTTATATTATAGTTTTATAATATCATTTAGAATTCTGGCCTAAAAATATAAAAATACAACAAATATTATCGTTATGCATCTCCATATATATATTTGAGCTTGCCTTAACTAAGTAAATGATACTATGGGTAGCAAACGTCTCGATGTGAATCATAATATTAAGTGTTAGAAATATGCTCAATTGTGGAAAATTTTGAAAGTACAAAAACAATCCACCTACTCAACATGAACCGACATCCAAAATCCAACTAGCTAGCTATGATTACAAATATTTTTTCCTTTAGTGAAATTGAGAATATCGTATACTTTTGATTCCGTTTTAAATTGTGAAGATTGAAGAGCAAAAAAGAATAAAAGATGTCCCAATTTCTTACAAACCAAATATAGAAACCCCAAAATGATTGTTCATATGTAGATCGATTATTGTCATATATTTTGGGTAGATATGATTCATCAAGATAAATTTAGAGTATTTTTGGTGTGTGCTAAAACAGTTAACTAAGATATTGTAGCTCTAATATTATAATGAATGCACGAAATCCAATTAAATCACAAGAAAAAGGGGAATCTATAATCCAATCATTTAGTTTTATGAGTAGTTTATACTTGGTTTGCGAATAAGTGAATGTAAAAGAACTCACCCAATATTATAATTTTATGGTTTGTACAAAATCAAGGGAT